GTATAATTAGTGATATAACTATGTTATATTTTTTAGAGACTAAGTCCAGAGCATTATATAATTTAAAGTCTGATATATCAGAGCTGAATTAGATAAATAATCAATAAAAACTGAAATATTATTTTCCCTTAGCAATACTCATATTTAAAAGTACTACTTATTTTTGTATTAGTATCATATTTAAACTTATTAGTAATTTGCTTTTAATAATTAATACTTAATATTTTAGTTTTCTTACTTTACTTTTGTACCAAATATCTAATGTATCGCTAAAATTAAATTTTGTTACATCAGTTTTTTCTAATCCAACTATTATCAGCATATGTAATGTTTTATTATTTAGAGCATTATGCAATCTTGTTTTGATTAAATTTTGCTTAGAAAAACCTCACTCATATTCTATACTTGAGAAGGAAATAGTATATACTATTGCTAATAATTTACTAATATTAGGATATGAATTAATATGATATTGAAATATTAAGCTAAGTAATTCTTTTATAGATATATTGAAATAATTCTCATAAATTAATTTTTTAAAATTAAACTATTCTATACATATATTATGAGAATTAACTATTGCTTGAGGAAATAAGGGAAATTGGGGTTTTTCATAAAAATCAAGTAATAATTCTAGTTCTTCATTACCAAATTCAGATATGTTTTAATTATTTAATAATATATCTGATAGTTTAAATATCTTTATAGTATTAATAAAAGGATTATCATGAAAATATTTTCGAATTTCTAAAATTAATACAGATGTAAAGCTTACTATATTTGCTATTAAATTATTTTCTTGATTTAATGTCTAAGTAAGAATATAAGAGCCAATCTTTGTATCTTTTCTAGGAGGAGTAGAAATAAAAAATTTGTTTAGATTAGTACTTAATTCAAAATAATTATTATAATTATTATCAATATCTAAATAAGTATTTTCTAATTTTATAATAGTAATCTGAATTATAGGGTATATATTATAAAAATAAAAAAATTAGGTTTGAAAAAATTTAGATAATATTGTAATCTCATTATGAATATCTTGAAGAAAATAAAAAAATGCTAATATTTGCTAATTGCAAAGATTTGAATATAAATCAAAAATTGAATTTAAAGTAGTTTGATTTCTTGATTCACATATGATATAAAAAAATATGTCAAGTAAAGGTTCAATTGAAATACAAATATTATTTATAGCCTCATATAGTGAAAGCCATTAAATATCAAAAATTTTAGGAATTTTTAATAAAGGTTTTTATAAGTTTCTTAATATGTATATAAAACCTGAACTCATTTACTTGAATTACTAAAAAAAGAATGAATTTTTTTAATACTAATTTGGTATAAATGAAGAATTCAACTTGTTTTTCAGCAGACTTGCATGCTAATAATAATCTATAAGCAATGCAGTGTATAGAATAAATATATGGATTTATTTTAATCATTCGTATTATAACTCCAGAAATGTTTCCTTGCATTACACTTGCACCATCGGATGTAAATGAAAAAATTTTATGATCTATTTCTATTTAAATAAATAAATTTAATTTAATTTTTATTAAATAATAAAATATATTATATATAATAAACTATAACTTACTTTTTACAATAAATAGTTTAATTATCGTATTATATATAGACTTAGCATCTTTATTTTCAATTTCTATTAAACTTAAAAATTGTATTTTTATAATATCATTAAAAAAATATCTAACATAAATTATAAGGTAAGATTCTATAGCAATATCAGTACTTTCATCAACAATTATTCCAATAGCTAGTGCAATAGATAATTCTTTCTATATCTTATTTTTAATTGAAGTTGATATAGAATATAATAATTCTCAGCCACATTTATTATTTTCATATGTAATTAAATGGTTTTCAGAAATTAAATATGGAGCTTCAATAGCATGACCAAGATGTATAAGGTTTTTAAACTTATTTAATAGAATATCATTCTGTGCTATACTATATATAATTTTCATTAAAATTATAATATGTTCTGATGGTATATTGATATTCATAATTTCAATTTTATTTTTTTTATATAAATTAATATGATCTTTTGTTTTTTCATATTTTTTCATAGCACTAAGTCTAAAATTTGTTGTGTCTAATTAAATTATTATACTTATTAGAAATATATTTAAATTTTTTTATATAAATTAATAACTTAAACTTGCTATTTTTCGCAAAAGCATTTTATTTATTGTTATTACGACATAATATACAAAACATATAATTGCTTTCAGAATCATATTCAAGCCAAGGAAACTTATTTTTCTAACATGGTCAAAAGCTTCTTTTAGCATATTGAGATGAGGTTTTATTAATATCTAATGATATTTTGATTTAATAATATTAACAAATGTTTTCTCATCATAACACTCAAATATATCAATTAATTAACAGTAGTAAAAACTAGTATTTCTATTCATAATTTACAACAATTGTTTGATAAAATAGTCTAATACTAAAACATTAATAGCTAATAATTTTTACATCAAGAATGATACTTTAGACAATAGCAGTAGTACAGTAAATATCTGAAATTTACTATATATCATTTTAGCTCTACTCGAGTCTCTAGTCCCATAGTGTAGGACCTATATTCTCCAGATCTACAGTTCTCTAAGTTCACATGACCTACTAGCTGAATTGTTCTTTTATTTTTATTAGTCCTTAAGCTGGTTTTCTCAAAATTAACATCATTTGTTGATAGATTTGCCTTATCTGATCGTCTTTGATACTGTGGTTATGCCAATAGACTGCTTTTGTACAAATAGATCTTGTTTTTTTCTTAAACAAGAAAGTCCTTCAAAGATCTTATTTTTAATCATAGTCCTGACAAAGCCTTGTCCTCCAGTTGAATTTGAACTTGCGACCTTGCAATTGTGACCTAGGAGCACTAACCACTATGCTATCGACCTATAGGTCTGATTATATATACATTAAATATATTATTACTTTAATTTTTTTAATAAAAAAAAAAAAAAGATGATTGTATTTTTTGTAATATTATATATATTTTTAATTTTATAAAATAAATAAATAATTTTTTAAAATATATAGTTAGTGATTTGAACTGGGTACCAAATACTCAATCAGTTAACTGACCTGGCCTTAACTGATTACAATCAGTTTAACCAAGATTATTTCAGTTGATTTGATTTACCAGATTTAGTTATTTGAACTAGGATAATCAGTTAACTGAACTGAATAAATATTTGTTAGCTGGTTGCAACCAGTGTTGTTAAATTTGCAAGGTTATTTACCTTTCTAAAATGACTTTTGTCAAGTCATTTGAGTCATTTAATCTATAAAAGTTATTTCAAGTCATGGCTTAGAATTACTGATTCAACCAGAACTACCTAATTAGAGATGTTTTGGCATTGTTTTGGCACTTATGGCAGTTTTCGGGCTTTTACCAAAACCCAAATGTAATTCCAAATCCCAAATATTGTCCAAATCCCAAACCTCTACTCAAACCAAAAGCATATACCCAAATCTCAGTGATAAAAGATTGCTGAATACAATGATACTTTTAATTAATATAATGATTATTTTAATAAATAATGATGCTTTTAAAAATATAATGATGCTTTTAATTAATTACAATGATACTTTTAATAATGAGCCTTTTTAAAAAATATAATGATGCTTTTTAATTAATATAATGGTACTTTTAATAATACTTTTAAAATATAATGATGTATTTTGATTATTTATTAATTCTTAAATTGATAAGTCTATTATAGAACTTTCAACAAATAGTACTACAGATAACCAACATGACCAACAAGTATTATATCGAAGGAAAGATGAATATCTAAAAACTAGAGTATTAGTTAAGGAGCAGGCTACAAATAATAGAAGGTAATAGGATCGTAGAAATTTATATTTTCTCATAGATTATTGTTATAGTTTGGAATTTTGTTACAGCAAAATTCTAAACTAGTTGAGATTGGTCGCATGACAAAACTATTAGCAACATTTGTATAAGCTGCTAGCTATTTATAACAACATTTTTTTAAAATTTAAGCCTACATCTGAATATATCAGACAATTTATTTTTTGAGAATGTTAATATAACCAAAGTTACGTGTACTATATAATCTTTGTTTGATTTGTATTGCTGTTATATTTAAAAAAAAAATTTCTATAGCATATTTACATATATTAAAATATTAACAGTTATTAATTTGATACAGTAACATAGTAGTGAAATTTTATTATTAAAAAAGGTGTATTACTGATTTGAAAGATTGTTTCTGGTTTTTAATCCATTAAGAGTGATAATAATATTATTATTATTAAAAAAAAAAAAGACCTTACGATTTATAATCATTATGATATAAAAGTATGATAAATTATAATTTTGTAGGGTTAACATAGAGACGTCTCTAAAGATCCCCATGTAAGATGTATTCACTATTTATAATTCATTCTATAGTGGACTAGGTGACAAGGGTAGACATATTATTTCAAGTCGCTGGAATCACTATCGTGATCCAATGCAAAAACTATACAATCAAATTCAATAGGTAATTTAATTATTTCGTGTCATTATAAATAATATATACTTAGAATATTATATTGGACTCCTACAGCAAAGGATTAACTTTCATATCCTCCTTCTTTTTTTATTCATATTTATTTATCTGTTTTTTTTTTTTGGTATCACATACAGGAAAAGATATTTCTTTTCTAATAATTGTTTATTTATATGGGACGAACATTGAAGAAAATCTCCATTAAATTTCAAATTAATTTTCTTAAGAACGAAGTTATATGAGCAGGAATGGGACAAAAAAATTATTTTGAAAAAACTTAATATATTGGTAATTTAAAATTTTTATTTCTTTTGTTATACCTTGATTACTGATAAAACTAAAAATAAAATAGTATTTTCAATTTATCACAGGATAGATTATATCAGGTACACCACGTTCCAACACTATGATCGATTTATAGTGGTTTCGGATTTTTCTCACCACTCATTCATCAATGATATCATTAAGAGTCCTTCAAATAAAGCTCAAAAACAAGGATATAGGAATAAGCCAGATCTTATATTGCACGTAAAAATTGGTGATAAAGAACTCGATTTTACCATTACTAATAAATTGAAAATTTTTAAATAATGGTATCATCTTCGCATGTGAGACTGTTATGCGTAGATATACTTGCACAATAGAGAAGTTGCCATTAGTATCATGGTAGCTCCTTACATAAATTCATCTGCTCCTGCTACAATATATGCACTGAACGGTTGAGAATTTAAATCTCTTGTTGAATACAGACAACTTCTATAATGTGTTCTCTGTATTTTATCTTGTACTCTATTTTTATTTTAAATATTAATAAAGCTGCCCTGTTAGTTTAACTTGTATACATAATCAGTTTATTTTTGCATGTATATTTTGTTTTTTTTTTAATATATTATATCGACGTATATTAACTTACATATCGGTCGATAATTTTTTTCTTGGAATCAGCATTCTGAAATGATATGTTTCTGTGATTTTTATTTGTTTATATTTTGTTCTTACAAATCAAGATGCAAATATTATAAAAATTTTTCATATACTGATTCAATTATATGATATCGGGATGCTTAAAATTTACTAATCCTAAAGTTAAATGCCCTTTATGTAAAGATGAACATCCGCATTGAGGAATATGAAAAGACTAGAGTTGTCTAGGTAAAAATGACTTATTCTCTAAATGTTCTTTCAACACTTATGAGAAAGAAATCTAAATTGCTACACAGAGTTCACAGGAAATTTATGTAAGTACTTCTCCTTCACTTCACATCAATTCTAAAAATATCTAATACAAGATGTTTCTCCACTTAAATAAATGTTTTCGAAAGAAAAGTGTAAAGAGGTTATTAACAAATTAAAAATGTATTTCACTATTCCAAAAGTTAGACCTATATTTTATTATAAATAAGAAAAATAAGTATCAAGTTAATGCCTGCTTATTGGGTTCTTGGTTCGCTTTGTCTACTATGTAGAAAAAAATATTCGAGTTTGCAAGGTAGGTCAAGATAAAAAGATATATTATTTACATTGCACTAATTTAAAATTTTTTTGATGAGGTATTAGAAACTTACCCCAAAAATTCAAAATTAGTTCAGAAGTTAAAAGACTCAATACTTCAAATTACTAATTTCTTAAATAAAAGTATAACAGTAGAGGTATGATTTTCTACAGATGTATTACAGAATAAATTACTAGATTGGGTTTGCACATTACATAAAACATTTATGCGATCTGTAATTCACAATACACACATATTTTTTAAATCATATTTTTTTAAAAAAGTGGAAAGCCCACAAAACCCCCAACCACCCTAGCATTGCCTCCAAAAAATCAATTACGTATTTGATTTTAAAAATTAACATGTACTATATATTCAAGTATCTTCACATTATGGTAAGACAGAAATGACTTTAGAAAAAAATTTTGATAGATTTATATTCATATGCAAGTAACACTGATATAAGAAACCCTCGATATAAGAAACTTTTGATATAAGAAACTCTTGATATAAGAAAGATTTACAAGTCCAAATTGAAAATTTTTAACAAAAAATATTCAATATAAGAAAGATTTTGTCTGGACCCAGCTATCAAGAGTCACTTGTAATAATTAGAAGTGACTAGAGATGTATTTTCACGAGATTACTACATTTACTAAATTTTTTATTCATTCCATATGATAAATTTGATAAATTTATTATTAGAATGCTAATATTTTAAAGTACAATTTTTTATCCTAGGAAATCTCGTAAAATCGTGTCCGAGGTATACCTCTAAAAATAACTTAGAAAAATCTGTGAATATATACAGTATATATATATTGAAAATTTCAAAAATCTTCAGAAATTACTAAAATTTAGCCTTGAACCTTGCACATATTCAAATTTATTGTTACTCTGAAATAGAAACTATCATTATTTTTCAAATGTCATTATTTCTGTGTTTATGACAAATTGTGACTATATCAATTGAATTTATTTTCTTTGATATTAAATAAAATAAAATAAAAGCAAATCTTGCTTTATAAAAGCTTAATATTTCGTAATTTCAGTCAATTTGCAGTGTAAAAAATTATGGCATTTGGAATAAAGCATGTTACTAAATATGGGTGAAGTCAATAGAAAAGGGACAAATTTTTTCTAAGTAAATATTTTCTCAAGTTTAGAATAAAATATTTCAACAACTACTAAAGCAAATCCTATAAAAATTTTTTTTATTTTAATTTTAATAAGTTATAGATTTAAAATAAAAAAAAATTTATTAAATTTGATAAGATTATTATTAAAATATTTTAATTTAAAAATAAAAAAAATTTCACTAAAAATGATTTGTCCATTTCTATTGACTTCACCCCATATACTGTTAAATAACAACAGTCAGAATCATAATTTTGAATTTAAAACGTAACTGATTTTAAGGCGACGCTTTGTTCGTCAACAGATCTTTGGGCGATACTAGGATGATTTCGAACAGGGACGAACTGAGTTCAGATAAACAAGATAACAACTAAATTATATCAATACTGTAGTTTATTAAATTAAATAACGATCTGCATTAAGAATCAACCCGCGTTATTTTTGTTAAATATACAAAATTTAAAATGACGCATAACATATATATGAATAGTTTTCTGAAAGGGAGGATTGTAAATGAAAGTGTTTTAAGAAGCTATTAAGGTATAAATGTGTGAATTAATTTTTGTTCGATCATTTTAAGTTATTTCAACAGATTTTCAAACTTGTTTCGCAATATTGGATTCGAACACAATCTATCATATCCCTCTGTATAATCTCTATGAGCCTTTCTCCAAGAGATTGAAGCGATAAGAGATAAGTTATGCATAAATGAACGAAGATTTGTGTTACGTTTTTCAGTTAGAAGCTTTTGGCATTGAAGATAAAACACAAAAAATGCGAGCGAATTTGTGATATTTGGGATCGGAGATGATGATATATTGATAAGTGTATCATCGATTAGTGTGCAAGCGCCTTCGAGAGTTGGAGTAGGAATGCGAATTGTGGAATTATCGGGAAGCGTTAGAAATGGATCGAGATCATCTAAGGATGTCATTTACTAAACCGCGAGACATTTGACTGGCGTATTGAGAACTATTATTCAGAGTTTGATAACAAGCTTTTGATCAACAACATTAGTCCAATTTATTTAATATAACTCAAATAAAAAGTATTCATTATTAAAAAAAACGAACCCTTAAATTTGATGACTTTTCCGATAATAATAATATAGTTGTCAAGTAAAATATTTTTTTCGAATATCAATGCATATTTCAACAAAAGTGCATGCTGGAAACCTATTTCAGTAGTGTTCTGTGAATTGGATCGTTTAAAAATTCTGGCAATAGATAATTATTCGATATCGGGACTTTAAACGATCTCCTGTGGATTAACTCAGTTCATTTTTCTGAACCACAAACGAGTACCCAAATTTGAACCTCTGTGCCGACATCCTATTATTTGGGGTTATTCAATCATATGATGCTAGATTCAATTCGGGGATTCATGAAATCTGAAGTCCAACACTCAAAATACAATTCAAAATCCCAAAATCCTAATGTTTATTTATCCCGACAATTCATTATCTCAGCAATTCAGTATCTTAAAAATATATTAATTTACCTAGGAAACTGAATTATAAGAATAATGAATTGTCAGGATTTGAATTGTTGTTTCGGAATTGTTGGTTCATATTGGGTACCATTCGTGGAACACTACTTCATGTAATTTTAATTAAGGGGAGCACCAAAGTCAAGTAATATTATATGAATTCCGCCAAAATAAACCAGAATTATGTCTTGAAAATTTTGATCAGTAATGTATACATAGTTTTCTAGTCGCTTCGGTAATATATATACAGTATGAATTTTACAGTAAACTTTATGTTGTCGTTTTAACTTCGTGGCATCAATTTGCTAAAAATAGTGTCATAGAACCGACTAGAAAACTATGGTGCACATGCTTTCAATTACGTATCACGCGTCATTTTCATATAAAGTTGATTTCTTCAGACAGCATTCATAAATTGATTACTCAATTTAATTTATTCATTAATTTATACGTAGAAGTTTGATGAAAGCTAGTTACTAATAAAATTCCAATTTAGGATATTACCTGCTAATACGTAATATTTTGTAATCTATGTAATAACTCTATATTGTTACAACTGGTTGTGAGTAGAGATGGGCAAATTTATTATGTATTCTTACTTAATATTACTTAACATTATATAATTTTTTGAACAATAAGTCATCTACGATAATTCTATTTTTAACAAAAAATTTACATGTTTATCTAATCTCAGCTTTAATTAATCGTTTCTTACCGTTATCATCATGTGATAGTAATAAATAAGAATTTGCTTAACTGTTAACATTATTAATATTACGTACAATTCCGTATTATCAATAATATTTGATATATTAATATTAAAATAAGCAAAGAATTGTTAAATTTAATTATTTGTTTTGACAATAGTTCTAGGTTTATAATACGTTTACGTAATTTGATAATGGCCCTAATTCACTTGACTTTATTAGTATTTTTGTACGTAGCTGCAGTTTCGTATTATATCGAATTGTATATTAATCTATGCGTGTGTACTAACTTGGAATAAAATAAAAAATACGTACGTATACGTATTAAGCGGCTTAATATATGTATATGCTTAGTTTATACAAAAATTTATGCCAAAGGTCGTTCTTGCCAATTAATAGATCTTCACTAAAAAATCTGAACATAAGTTGATAAACATATCTGATATAAACATTTTGAGTAAATCGAATAACTAAATTTTCTACTTCAAGTT